CAGGAAGCGCCAGCTACTTTAGCAGAGATGCTTAAAGCTCAACTTCAGCCCTAATTCTAGGGGTTTCCAGTCTACAAAGGGTACTTTGAGAGCCTGTTTTTCCCAAACACATCAGGAGTGGAAAAATCTGACACACTGTTTGAGGCAGAATCAAAATGTAGCTTAATGTGTTCCCTGTCAGTCACTTTAACAAGCAGTGCCTCCCCCAGCCAAATGCTCCTGTCTCCCCTCGTACCAGTTTGTCCCCCGTTGTGCTGCTTGCAAGGAGCAGACAGATCCCTCCCACAGTAATAAAAGACCTTTCGCTGATCTAGAATAATCAAACTCTCCAAAAAGACATGTATTTTGCTGTGTCAGAGTTCTGGATGTCACACAACACGGCTCCTTTCAGGGGTTCTGTTTATAGCTGTAACTAATGAGGTGATGGAGTACAGGGAGCACTGCAGGGGAAAGCACGTCCCTGAAGGTACAAACCTCCTGCAAACAGGACAGGCTGGCAATTAATCCACAGGTTAAATGTTGACTGGTTAGCTAACTCCTTGGCAATTAGCTACCTGTAATAATATCCTCCAAACAACACACACAAATGAAAAGTATCTTTGGCAAAAGGTGGATAAGCAGGAAAAAAAAAAATCAGAATTTAAATCACTGGCTGTACTGTAGATTCTCACCAAGAGCAGCTATTTATAGCTTAAAACTTCTAATTCAAAAGACTGAGGGCATTAATACTTTCAAATAAGAATCAATACTGACCAACTGCAGCCTCGCTGGCTGAGGCTGAAAAGTAAATTAACCCGAAGTGATGGAAGTAATTTGGACAAGCAAAAGCCCTGGAACCACATAACCACTGCCCTCACAAGCTTTCTTTTGCTGAGCAGCCACACTCTGCAGCAGTGCTGCTTCCCTCCCTGGGCCAGGCCCAGGCTGCTGGGGACACACACATTGCTTCTGGAGAGTTACACGGAAGGACTGTGCATCTCTAGTCCTGATTCTGTTGGATCATGTTGCTCTACAGTGTGCATCTGTAACAACAGATTATTTTAATCAACAGTTGATCAGTGTTGACAAGCTTGAGACACTCCTATGCTGGCAGGTGGATCATGTCCAAGGACTCACCATCAGTATTAGAATCCTATTCTTTATCTCTACAAGATATAAACTAGCAACAGGTTGCATAAATAAGGAAGATTCTTCAGGTTGACCATGACAGATCACTTTAACTACTGAAAAACAAGAAAACCCCGAATCTGCTCATACAAGTAGAGAAATTAATCCAACCAGAGTTGGTTTTCTTTACCAAAGTGAAACAACAAACCATTTCAGCTCTCCAAAGTCAGCAGCAAGTGACATCTGAGGTATGGACAGCATTAGACACCTCTTCTGTAAACATTTCCTCCCAGTCTGAGATCACAAAAGGCTGAAAAGGTGACCACACTTGCTACAAGGTAGGTCTAAGAAGGGAAATATTTAAGGAGGACTATCTTCTGTTTCAGAATTTTAACTTACTCAAAACAGGAAGATACTAAAACTTTGAAGATTTTCTCCTGTTGGTTTTCATAGCAACAAAATAAGTAGTTGCCACTCCCAAAACCACCTGGGTGTGTTTGATTTAGGTGGGAGTTTACTAAAGCAGCAGTAATTATAAACTAGAGGTTTTACTTTGTTGGAAGAATACAGACTATTTAGAGATTGAGGTGCAAGTTTAAGTGTTTTGCACTTAAGTTTATTTCTTGATCTGTACACTGGTGACTGACTGTATTTACCCACAAAACCACTCCCTTGATCCGGGAGAAAAACCATCTGTTCTCACCTTCAAAGCTCACAACTTCCACAGATAAACTATTTACATCAGTAATAAGGTCTACACTTCAGAATCCAGGAAAAAAGGCTGCACGCAGAAATAATCTGGAAGCCAGTTAAAAAGCATGAAGAGTTTAAAAAATTTAAGTTTACAACACTGGAATGGCTGCTGCACTGACAGCCTGGACGTGCACAGGAGACATTTCTGGTACCAACCAGTGTCTTGTGCCTGCCACAGAAAAACTTACTCCTAAATTCTCACTGGACTTCAAGCATCTACTTCCAAGTTTTGAAAGACAGACTGATGGCTTGATTGCAGGTGATGACAACCAGAGTCCTTTGCCACAGCTAAAGTAAAGCTGCTGCACAAATCTTCTTTCACAACACTGCACGACTCCCCCAGTGCAGCTGTAACAGCATCACTATGGTCACCAATGTGAACCTGCAGTCCTGAGAAATAATACAAGAAATTAAGTGTATTTGTAATCAAATTCTGTACCTTGCATCCCTCTGCTAGGCAACAAGAGAAATTAAACATCTATATTCAGGTAATTTAACAGCACGTGACAAAACATGCAAAAACTGGCTTTAAAATCCAATCCTAAGTAAACCCTGGCAATGGGGATGTAGTTCCTAAATTGGCCAACATTAACATTTGATACAAATATGTCAGCTATCAGAAAATTCCAGGAAGAATAAAAATAGCCTCTTACAACACAGCTCTTGCTCTGTCCAAACACAGGATTACCAAATCAGTCTTAAAACAAGGCACATTTTAAGTCTGGAATTAAAGGATTGTGTGATTGATGCCAACCCCCCCCCAGCTCACGGGCCAGGGGGAGCAGCAGCTCCACCAGCTGGGAACTAAAACTCTCCTTGTGCTGCTGGGCTGCCAATAACACAATTAATTACTCAGTTAATGCATCACTGATTCCTGCACCCATCTGATAACACGTGGGATTGTAGCTGAGAGCTGCAGCCACAAAGCATAACAAAGTCTGGACATAGTTTATTCAGGAAAAACAG